TCCCAATGTCTGAGTTACTTGACAATGCGTGGTTGGTATTGCACTGCCTCCAGTCATGCTCCTGTCTAACCAGCCATAAGCTATCACTCCACTGGAGGCCGGCATGTCCAGGTCAGTTGCCTTCAACATATGAAACGAACACATCATGGTTTTCTCCTATATTCCTAGCTGCTAGCCAAGGCTGGACCAGTTGAAAATTGGGGAATGTAGTTTATCAAGGTGGTTTCCTTTATTGGATTTCTTTTGTGTTTCCTTTCTCAAGAGAATACGGTGTGGGTTTTCTTGTTGGCTCCTGCCAGTACTGTTTTGTACTTTTTTTGTTTTGTGCAGAAGGAGCTTTCATGGGGGCGGACATGCGGTTGGTCCCATACCAGAGGAACTTGTGTTGGCTTGTTTTCCCCTAGGTCTGTGGAGGAGGTTTTTGACCAGCATATCTAAGAACTAAATCAGGGGTGTGGAGCGGTTATTGCAGAGATGCTCTTGTATCTAGGATCCATGCTTTAGCCAGGCTGTACTCTTATAGTAGAGGTTTGTACCTTTAAGCAAATAGATTCTACGATTTAACAAAAAAAAAATGGTACAGTCATGTCTGGAAAGTTTTTGTACCCTCGCATGGCAACTGCATAACCACAACTACCAACCATAAAAATTTCAAAAAAAAAAAATTAAAGAATTCAATTAAAGAAAACATGATAGTATTGCTAGTAGACAATAAAAAAACATTATTACCATTTTGTATGGCCTCCATTTGCATCCAGTACAACTTGCATTCTCTCAGGCATTCTATCTCTCTATCCATCGAACTTCTCTTAGAGAATTAAATCCCACTCTTCCTTTGCTGCCTCAAACAATTCAGCTGCACTATGAGGCCTTCTTTCCAGTCTAGAGAATCGCTTGGTAAGGGCTCTTTTGAGTAGTGCCCATGTGTTCTCAATAGGATTGAGATCTGGTGAGTTGGGTAACCAAGAGAGTTTATTGTAACTACAGTCTACTTCTGATTTTCGATTTTCCTCACCACCATGCCAGGAAGCATTGTCTGCAGCAAGGTAGATATTGTCAGAATGTCTGTTCAGACCCTCTATAAAAGGGATAAGGTAAGGCTAGTGGATCTCAGTTGCATATTAGTGAGAGTTTAGGCCAAGTCTCTCTCTTTTTCTGGTCCTTTCCTCCTCCCTCCTCTTTCTCACAAGAATTAACTCAGTCTTTCCTCCCTTCATCATTACAGCATATACTCCAATGCTAGTTCTTGCAGACTTAAAGCTAGACTTTAAGTTTTTTTCCTTCCAGCTCTTCACCAGGTCTAACTCTAACCTTTCTACCTTTTGGATTTAGGTCATAAACAATTATGGCTTCATCCACAAAAATAACCCAATTCTCTGCCTCTTTCTAGTTCCTCCTTCTCCTAGCAAACTCCCTTCTTTTCTCCTTTTGTCCTTTTCTCCATAAAGGCTTTTTCCTACAGTCACCCAGCAGAAGTGTTCGTGATCTGAGATAACGTTTAATTCCGATTGCGCCATATGGTGGGACAGTGCCGGTGGGGTTGTCAACCAGCGTGCGCACATGCGAGTTCAAGTTCACGATCAACAACCACTGGCACCACTCAACATTCAACAGTCAATTTACCTGCCATAAATTAAACTAGCTAATATTTTGTATAACCTCTCCTTGCTTCTAAAACTGCAGCCACCCTATCAGGCATTGATTTCCACAACTTCTCAAAAAACTCCTCAGGAATTGTCTCCCAAACCAATGGTAATACATGTACAAGTCTTCTCCTAACAGCCTCTTTTCCTCCTGGAGTATCTGCAATCCTTGGATACTGCTGGTGCAATCGCTTTTTAAGCTCAACCCATATATGCTCAATAGGATTTAAATCAGGGGAATAAGGGAGGTGGTCCATGACCTCAATACTGTTTCTCTCCAACCAATCTATAACACTCTATGCCTTGTAAACAGGAGCATTATCTTGTTGAAAAAAAACATCTTTAAGTTGTATACCAAAGAAAATCATTTAATGAATAACAGGAAAAAGATATCTTCTCAAAGGTCTAACATACCTGGTCTTATTGATAGTTTGAGTAATAGGAACTAATGGACCTTTTCTTTTACCCCAAAAGTACCCCCAAACCATAAGCGAGATTCTCTTATTCTTCTCTTTTGGGTGTACACAATCAGCCAACTACTTCTCTGCAGGTTCTCTGAATACCCATTGTTGCTTTAGATCCTTAGATTTCTCCACACTACACTCATCACTCCAAATCACTCTTTTAACATCCTCAGCTGTCCAGTCCCTATGAGCTGTAGCCCATCTCAATCTCTTAGCCACATGATCAGGCTTTAGCCCAAGTCTTGACTTGGCTATCCATTTTTTAATGTTTGCTTCTCTCAGTACCCAGTCCACTATGCGGGCAAATTTAGTAGACAATCATATCCAGTCACTCTGGGTAGCACAAAGAGTTACCAGTATCAAGAGAAACATCAGGTGTATAGCAATCCCTGAAGGGGCATCTGGTCATTTTCTGGTTAGACTTGGCTGCCTGTATAGTTGTGCAACGCTGTTGACTACTCAAAATGGAGGTGCGACTGGGATGAGAGAGATTTTCAAGGGTCCATAGGTGTCTAATAATTTGAGCCACCAAGGCAATATTCTGAAAACAGTAGAAAAAGGCGATTATCATGCCCTTCTCTGCAAGGCTCATTTCTCTCTGGGTGGTTTTAGGTGGGAGTCATTTTTTTGCGGCATACTTCATATTTCCAGAACACTTAATCATTGGTAAAAAATATAGAGGAAATTAATAAATTAATTATTTAGGTAAAGAAGGCTTCGGTGGGTGTAGATTTGTGAATAGTTATGGTCGCAATAGGGTGAACAGTTACGATCAACTTTACACCTCATTGAAAGGTAGCATTTTGGCGAGGCAGCTTAGTCACCTGAGACCAGTTTCATGAACACTTCTGCCAAGTGACTATAGGTATCAGAAGCTTAAAACCAGCTTCTGATATGATCTTATCAATAGTGGTTTTACCAAGACCAATATTCGCTTTTTTGGTAATGTCGCATAATGCTAAATGAGGCTCAGCATCAATAACTGACTCCACTATCTTTCTCTTTATGTTGGTAATCTTGGTTGATCTTCTACCTCTTTTTGCATGGTGAGTGTTTCCACACCTAGATTTAGCTCTTTTGACTACAGACTGAACAGTTGACTTGAATACACATAAAGACTTAGAAATTTTGTCATATCCCATATCTGTATGTTTATATGAAGTATAAACTTCCTTATTCAGGTCTTCTCTTACTCTTAGGTTATGTAGAGAGGCCACAGTGAGGAGAGTGGTTGTAGTATTGAGGAGTTGCAGGGTTGCACCTGAAGTGTACGAAAACCTTCTGGACATAACTGTACCTGGGGTGGTGTGGGACAATTGGCTGCCAAATACTCGTGGTCTGTGTATTGGAGTGGTTCAGTTGTACATTGTGGTTGGCGGCTTCACTCATTACAAGTTGAATGTACCTTCCCTCGATTTGCTTCTGTTCATTCATCCTTTTCTTTCTTGTTGCACAGGTTGGGAATGACTCTTGCTTATTACTTAGTCTGTACCTTTTGCCAGACCTGTGGCGCTCTCCTCGGATGGTCCTGCCTGACTGTTTCCTGGCTCGGTCAGACTTCAGTTCAGCTGGATTGGATATTGTGGCTGATGCTGGCCCCTTGGAGTATTGGTGCTGCCTCCTTTGTATCTCCCAGCTGCAGTTAGTGGGTCCTCCTCGGCTATTTGTAGTCAGGGGATGGGGCTCTATTGGTGTGGCCAAGATAAGTGGCTGTCCGATGTGATCTGATATAGGCGGTCTGGTGGCTATTGGATGGTGGATCAGAATTAGGGGTAGAGGGGGCTAGATGGGTCCTGTGGCGTCTGGTATTTAGGGCTTAAGGGGGCTTGATTGAGAGGGGAGAGGCACCTGAGAGTACCAGTCGGGCCTGCATCAGGTTGAGTAAGGTCTAGTTAAGTGTTTCCAGATGGCCCTGGCTGTTAAAGTGATGTTACTGAGTGCTGCAAAGCTCCATGACAGCCTGGCTGACTGATGGCTACATGTGCAGATAGTGGGTCATAATCCTCTGGTTGGACTTTTTTGGATCTTGTGTACTGGGCTTTATGGGATTTGTTTGATTTCTTTGGTTTGACTACAGGTATGGCAGGAGGCAAGGCACTACAGGTGGGAGATAGGCCCCACTAACTATCTTGGTCAATTATTATCTCTATGTATTTCTGTTTTTTATATAGTTTTAGGAATGAGGCAGCGGGTACAGTTCCTCCTCACAGGTATGCTCTTTAGAGGCAACTGGTAAAGTGGGTTCATAGGGTTGATGGCCTAGTATGCGGGCAAAAGAGGTGCATATATTGGTCACCTCCTTCCTGCAATTATGTTGCCTGTAGGTTTAATTTATTTGTTGGTTTTCTTATACTGTGATTACTGGTTGCAGGAGGATATTTACACTGGATAATAGTATTTTTTATGTTTTTGGACAAGGAACCCAGTTGCGTTCCTCTTTTATTTAGCTTTGGCTATACTTAGTACTGGTTGGCTTTATACCAGAGAGGCTACAGACTTGGACTGAGAAGGGCATTGGGTTGTTTGATAGTCTTGTAATTAGTTTCTGTGTGGGCATAACTCGGGGATGGTCAGTATGGGGCCATAGATTTAGTTAGCTCAGAGTTAGTGGTATACTGGTTAGTAGTACCTGTATGCCAATAGGGACTCATCGTATGCCAGCGTTGGTGGTACAAGTTTAAATCAAATTGACTTCTAAGTACTTTTTCTACCTATTATGTTCACCCCATCTCAGAAGTAGACGTACCAACACTTTACCATACTTCGCTTGTGATAATTACTTCATCACTATTACTTGTTTGTACTATTCATTTGAGCAGCCGGTTAGAAGTAGTTGTTCTCACTTAGAAGGCACGTCAGTATGAGATATCTGCAGCCTGGTTCCTGTAATTACTGAGTGTAGTCTTGGGCGAGGATGGCATCTTCAACAGCCTCCTCATATATGGATTCCCCTCCCCCTTCAAGGATGTTATCCCCAGTTCAGTTCAACTCCAACCCCTCCTCTTCACTTGAGACTACTTGTGTGGCCTTGTCTTGCACACCTATTTTTGTAGCTAACTGTGGTCTTATTCCTTCAACTATATTGTCCTACATTGCACCCAAAGGGGACTTTAGTTTCCTACAGTTTTACCACTCCCACAGGTGCCAGAATACAGTAAACTCACAGTTTGATGAAGAGGTCTAACAAAGAGTCACTGGTATGACTATTACCAGGATGAAAGAAGTGGAGCTTTTGGTGCAGGATTTCCTGATGGGGAGATAATATTCAGCTATATGTAGCTTGAACCAGGATACTACTATGAGACTCTTCATTTGATTCCACTCTAACTATGGCTCAGAATACTCACCAGCTCCCGAACCCTTCTCCCTTAAGGACTCTCAGGCAGTTGTTCCAAAGTCCTCCCTTCCTCCGGCCAGAGATGACTCGACTGCTACCATGGTCAGGGCCAGCTCCTGGTCTGTTACCCTCTCTTATGCCGTGATTACCAAAGACAAGATGCTCAGCTTACTCTGTCAGGGTCCTATTCACAGGACCAGCTCCTCTACCTCCTACTTCCTAGGTGAGATGTCATCTGGTGAAAGGGTACTTTATGAGACCTCCAGGTTCAAGCTGGATAATACAGATGATGAAAACTACAACCCTCCTGCTGCGGGTACGTGCAGCTGAATTCTGTTGGTATCTCCCGCCAAACGATCTGCTACCCTCTTCCTTGGTCCTCAGTTTTTAAGGGCTATCAATGTTAGTGAAGGGTGGAAGAAACAAATCGTTCCTACTCTCTCTGGCCTGACTCTAGATGTTCACTACAGGTGCTTGGCCATTCCTGTCCCTATGGTACTCTGATCCACTAACGAGGCCACACCCCTTTCTCTATCTCCATTAGCAACCCAGGATATTCTCTCCACCTTCGTGGTATTCACTAGAGATACCCCCATAGGTCTGGGCGATGGATACAATTCCAAGGCAACTGGTTTAGATGACAATATACAAGCCCCTTCACCGGTAATAGCTTGATCACCCCCAGCTTTTGATGAATACTTCATGTACTCTCCTAGTGGATAGTTGGAAGGTTCTCTAGCAATCTCACATGACTGCCAGAGCCCGTCCGAAGTACAAATCCTGAATACTTAGCCTGAGGCCGCCAACACTGTTTTGGCTCAGGGAGAGTCGATCATGGTAGGTGTATATGTGATATTTAATGCAGGTAGGAACCCCTCTCCTAGACCTCACTCAGGTAGTATAATTAGGTCCATGTTGGACAGTCTAGAGAACATCTGTTCTGGCAATATACTGCCCCTCATCTCATTGAAATCTAGGTCAATTGAGGATGATACAGTCCATCATATTCAGGCTTGCATAAACCAGGGCCCCACATTTGGCAACTAAGATCCAGAAGATGGAGTGAAGTACCGTAAATGGGTCCACCAGTTGGAATGGGTAGTCAAGGTACTGACTGATATTGTTATGAAATAAGGAGAAGTGATAGAGACCTGGCAAGGTAAGTTGTCCTCCTACTATTGCTTCCCTCTTGCGGTACCCCACAATACCCCTACTACCTCTTCAGAGGCACCACCTCCCACACTCCCTATGGGAAAGGACACTACTATGGAGATTCCTACTGCTAAGGCCTCCTCAGATTAGTCTAGCAATTATAGCTCCTTCAGTAATTGGAGGATAGTCCTGCCTGTAGCTTGTGGTAGTGAAGTCAAGTCCATCCAATAGGAAGAAGAGAGTGGAGAAGTTAATCAGATAAAGGAAGGAAGTAGACATAGGAGATAGTGCAGTAAGGCTGAGAGAAGGAGAAGAAAGGCTGCCAGGGAATCTAGTAGTGAGAAGGAATTGGTGACCCTGACTAAGATTCACAGGAGGAACACTGACAAGCAGGAACCAGCCCTCACAACTGCTACCCCTGTTGTGCTACCAGTTGTGTCTGGACCTACCACTACAGCTAGCAATAAAGTAACTGTAGCCTCAGTACAACTAGAGTTCCATCGCATCCCAAAGGTGCCTCCAGACCCACTCAACTCTGTACCTGTACCATCATCTTCACAGACCTTGGATGCTAGAGGAAGGCACATCTCTATGTGGTTTGCTATATACAAGGAGGTTGCCCTACCAGAAGGTATTACTATTGAGACGATCCGGAACTACATTAAATTAACCGTGTCCAATCAGAGGAACATTGTAATGAGTATGCCTTATGTCCCTGCTGAACATGTCTAACCTGAGATCAGATATATTTTTCTGACCCTGGTTGCACACTTTGTTTTGGAGCTAGGTAACTGGCTCGACAAAGTTAGGCTTGACCTACCAAGGAATTGTCACTCCTAGAGTTTGTATTCTAGAGGAACCAGGAAAAAGTAAGGATTTTTGTTTCTAGTATCGCACTTGCTGACACAGGATGAGGGTCAATCTGGAGGATTGAAGGGTGGACTGGAAGTGCAGCCTTTGATGGCCTCCATACTGACTTGGAGCAATCTAAGACTAGTGTAGTTACCATATCCTAACCTGACATTATGGGTTCCATCCATGCTATGAGGCAGGCCACCCCCCCCCCGGCACTTGTGGCATTTGCTTAATGGTTGAAAAGAATGAGGCAAGCAGGAAACAACTTGCTGGAGGCAGGATTTGGGTACAAGGAGGTGCCCGTAACCTCTAGGTATTCCATAACATCGTCCCATTAAGGTATGTGGTAAGTATCTAGAGACTGGCCACATTAAGGCCAACTCTAGTCGCCCCCCTCCCTGCTGCCAATTTTGCTTTAGAGAACACTTCTCCTATCAGCATGTGTGTAGCAAGCTCGCATGTCCTGAAGGAGTGGACCAGGCCTGTGGGCATGCCTGGAGGTAATTTTAACTTTGTAATCAGATGGACCACTTTGCAGGATACAAATATTACCTAGGTACCAAATCGTCCTTCTCCACTCAACCTTCCTCCTCTTCTAAGCTGGAGGGAATCCTACAGGTAGAATCTACCAATAAACCAGAACAGTGGGAAAAATAGGCAAAAAAGAGCCAGAGGAAGTAAGGTAGTAGTAGAAGATCTCCAACACTCAGGCTAGTTGAAATTAGTAGTGATGAAAATGAGGTTCTGCATCATAAGTCAGATAAGGCCAAGAGTAAGGAACTGGAATAGCCCTCCCGCTTCTCCCCCTCTCTGGCATGTGAGATTTTAAAAACAGCCGCCACTACCAACCCCAGCCAAAAGCATACTTTTTGGACTGCCCGAAATCAGGTTGAGGGCTCCTTCTTCACCTCTGGCCTCTGTGGCCCGAGTGGATTTGTTGAAGCCCCCTTTTAATGCTTATTACAACAATAGCATTAAATATGTAAAGGAGTAGTCAAAATTGGTCACTGGCATTTTATTTATTTTTCTTTGTTGATTTGTTTTTTATTATAGAACTTCTGGTAGATTCAGAGGGACAATATGTACCTAGAGATATTGATGCGTGGGATTTGTTTTCCTTTGTTAAGGGATCTGGTATTGAGGTATTTGTACGATCCTATATTTATGTGATTTTTGAAGTAGTTAGGCATAGAGAAGGCAGTGTCCAGATTGGGTATTGGGAGAAATCGGCAAAAAGAAATACTCACTGGAGTTTACTTTCGACTAGGTTATATTAAGGCCCAGTTTGTTGGATAGTTAGATAAACTTGGGGAACCAAATGTCGCGTTTTGTGATTTCAATACCAGACATCAAGACTGGGATTCCAATACGGATCATACCAATATGGGCAGATAATGGCGGAAACAGTAGTTCATGGCCCCAGCTCTGATATGAACTTCACTCCTCCAACAGTAACAACGTTCCAAAATATTTCCAGAATCGACCTTTGCCTGCACAAGGCACTGTATATTAGATATCGGTACTTAGATACTGCTGGGTGCAAATGCAGTACTCAAGCCATCAAGCTGACAGTTGACCAACATGATACCATGATGTGTCTAAGACAGGCTTGGAAAAAGGCAGTGTGAGAAAAGGTTGGGAAGCAGCTAGATGCTCCACCAGAGGTAGAAGATAGAGAATAGTGGGGAGGGGTTGGGTATGTATTGAACGCACTCCTATGGGCCTCTATTAGCAGAGGTCAGTATGAGTGGTAGACAGCAGAGCTTGAGAAGATGAAGTTGGATGTGGTTTGGCTATGGTGGTACTCTAAATGCAAGGCAGAAAGGATGGAAGACTACAAGCTGATCAGATATGTCTACCAGGCTTGCCTATTAAGGGCCAGTCTCATGCACATCAGGTCCAAGATAGCTGAAAGCTAAGATCCGGATATCTTTGTGTTGGCACGGAAGCTGGAAGCTAAGAAAGCACTTCCCTCCTTGTCCTGCTCATATGTATCCTATGCTGCTATACACTCTGACATCAGCAACTTGATTGCACAGCAGTTATCCTCTCGTGACCCTACCCTGTGGGTAGATTCCACAGTCAACATAGATATTGCTCAGGAGATGGAAATTGTCCTTGCCAGATCCCCCACAAATACAGGCCCAGGCAAGGAGAATATTGCCTATCCCATCCTGTTGTTTTGAAAGCTAAGGAATATGGCAATACTAAGGTATCTTGTCAATTATAGACTGCAACATGATATTCTGGACTAGTATCGGGCAGAGGTGGTTCTTATACCCAAGCTCAACAAGCTCAAGTAAAGCATCGTAAAATCTTGGAGAAGGATACATCTCCTCCCGATACCAGCAAAAGTTACAGAACTCAGAGTCCCGTTATGGTTGGCTGCCTGCCTTGATCTTGGGGAGACACAGTTCAGTTCTCACCAGAAGCGTGGAGTTCATAATGCTGTGGCAGTAGTCTACAAATTCCTGTGGCATAATGAAGGCTATACATGGCTGATCCTGTCAATAGACATCGAAAGAAGGTTTGATAATATTAATGTTAACCTCCTGTCTGATTTTTTGGTGGCCTGAG